GTCGTTGCCAGCAATATGCCCACTATTTCCGTTGTTGAGTACTTCAAATGTGATGGTTCTCACGAGCATGATGAAAGCCGTGGCACCCACTTGAAGGAAGCCGAGGGATACACGTACATTTACACTGATGCCGTTCACAATGCATTTTCCGAACATGCCACCATGCAGCCGTTGCTTTCGAGTGATTGTGCTGCATCGTTTTCGCAATGAGCGGCCCAACGGCTATGGCGCATCCCGCGAGGGATTGCGATCCGGCATGGAGGCGGTGGATGGAGAATGTTGCTACCACATCGGTATGCACGAACGGCAAGTACGACGCTAACCTCGCCGCTACGGTCAAGGGCCTCCTGGAGACGACCTCTGCACAGTCGCTTATTCATACATGGGTGCAGGACCAACCGCATTATTTGCAGTTGCTTACACCCCTGTTAACTATAAGCGAACCTTATTTGAAGGTTGTGCAGGCCCCACGTGTACCAGATCGCGACCTCCTTATCTATTTGACTGTCGCTGACTCAGGACTGTCAATGGTTTCGGGCAAGAAGAAGAAGCTTCGCAAGTATGACTTTGCAGAACGCTTGGATGCTTCTCGCCCGGCGCGTGTCGGTGCATGGAGGTCAGAAATGCTTTGGGGCAAGGGCTTACAACAGCTGTGCAAGCGCATGGCCGCCCTTATCGACGAGGTGCGCACGGACTACCCAACGGCGACCATCGTTCCGATGATTTATTGGAACGGCAATGAGCTTGTTGGGAAGGACGGCATTGAGCCCAGCGGCACCTACCCGTTCGACCACCCCGCCGGCGAGGCCAGTCAGTTGCTGGCAGACACCAAGAGGCACCTGGCTTGGACCAGGGATTTCGCGGCCCGCAAGGGCTGCGCATGCCTTGGAATCATGACCGGCGCGAAAAGCTATCTCTACGGCTTCTCTATGATTTGGGACCGTTACATGACGGAAGTCCGGGATTACATCATCGGCGACCCCAATCATATGTTCGTGTACGTAGATGCTACACCCTTTGTCGAGACCATCGATTTGCTGGACAGGTATCATATGTGCTTCAGTGATGACAACATCACGAAGACCGTCCAGTTCATGCGCGGAACCCATCACATGTTGTATATGCTTTCTATCTTGCGCCCCGCAATGGGCAGCGTAGCCGAGCTGACACGTTCGCACGACTGTACCGTGCGTCCGATCGATGTGCTCGAGGTGCGCCACCAAGAAGATTGCACAGTCAACGTTGAGGTTCTCGCGTACTGCAAGGAGACGCTAACGAAGTGCGGTGTTTCTTTGTCAGAGATGATCGGGCTCCCATTCACCCGTGAAGAAGTGGAAATCCGGCAGCCTCTCGATTTCGCCCCCGTCAACCCAGCTGAGTTTGCAACTACAGGTGAGCCTTCCGGTGCAGATGTTTCCGAAAGTGTTCGCCCGGCGCAAGCCGGTGGTGGCACAATTCAAAAACTTCCAAAAGCGCAAACGCAGCCGTGCCTTGCCGGCTCGCAATAAGCGCAATGAGGTTGCAAAGCAAATTTGACCGTGCTAATACGTAACTAGCGGCAGGGCTACTAGGCAGGTGCGCGCGTGCTGCACTAGGTGCACCAAATGCCAGTGGCCGATGCTACTCACCACTTGCAACACCCGCTACAGGGCAAGCTTCTTCCCTCCCCTCGTGGGCGTACGCATCACATGCAAGAGGTATTTGTAGTGTGACGCGAAGCGAAAGCTTGGGGAAGATGAGAGTTTTTGTCCCTTCTTGCGATTAAGTAACAACTGTTCGCGAACGCGGCTGCATGCGGCGCACGGTGTTTTATTTTGCTTGTCACGTGTTGACTGCCCACGTGATTCCATACTCCCATCCGGCAGGATGTCATAGTATGACACTCAGGTAACGGCAGCGCCAAATTACTCATCCCGGGAGGTTTGTCTTTTCTTGGAGTTGAGGCGTTCTTGTGGCGGGGCCAACGCGCACCGGATCACTTCAACAACTTGTATGAGCGGCCCAAATGCTAGCAAGCATGGGTGGCCGGCCACCGACTAGGTTTGGCAGTCGCGCTTGTTTTACATCCTTCTGCGGTTAAACCGTGGAGTGGTTTTTCCGGGCTCCGAAAGGGCCTTCTTTTGTGTGGATCGAGCTCTGAAGTGTTACCGCCCTATGGGCCTTTTGCGTTTACCCCGACAATGTTCCACCGTTTTAGGGGTTGTTAGGTCGCCCTATGGGCCCCCTGGCAACTCGGAGCGTTTGCTGAACGGCTGCGGTGGCAAAAAGGGACGAGGCGGCGAGCAGGCCGGTACCACTCGACTCCTACGGGAGGAGCGTGACTGGGGGCCACTATGACTGCTGGGTGTATAGCATTCATGATGGCGTGAAGTATGCAGCCCTCTTTTGATTACGACCCTTCCGTCAGGAGAATCAGTGACGAATACCACCGTTCCCTGACGTGCATCTCCAAGATCCTCCGTGGTCGTGGAACGGAAGGATGCGGGTATGTGATGGATGAGGACGGCTACATGGACCTCGAAGATCTGGGACTCGCGCTTCGCAAGGAGCTGCGACATCCCATTCCATGGAATATTCAGAATATCATGGATATCTTCAAGCTGGACAAGAAGCAGAGGTTCATTGGCCTTGGTTGCCCGGACGCAAGCCGGTGCGGAGACGTCCCATGTTCTCACTGGCTTTTCAAGCTGAAGGCCTCTCAAGGCCACGAGGACTGGCTCCAGATCGACGACTCCGGCATCGCGAAGGAGTGGTACGTGAACCCGGGGACTGACCTCGGGCGCTGGTCTGGCTGGAACGTTTGCAGCAACCCTCCAACTGTGCTTTATCACCGCACTGATAAGCGAAATTTCGCCAACATCATGCGGAACGGTCTGCTGCCAGGAGGAGGGGACCAGCACGAGACAGGGCGACCTCACGTTTTCTTCGCTGACGTCCCCAGCACGAATGAAAATTACATCTCAGGTGTACGTGCGAACAAACCCCTGGAGATACAGATCGACCTCAGAATGGCCATTCGCGCAGGGCTTTGCTTTTTCAAGACGGAGAGCGATGGTGTCCTTACGCGGGCCAAGGTGCCCAACTACACGATTATTTCTGTATTGGACGCTACGAATGGCGATGTATGGTACACTCGCTCCAAGCAATCAAATGCAGGTGCACCAGCTGAGGCGACTGAGGATGAACCCCAGGGAATGAAGCGCGACCAAGCCGTGATTGATGATCGTTCAACAGCGCTGGAACGTATTGCTACAACGCGCACAAATGTGGCCTCTCCTCGCGCCCCGCAAGGGGAAGCGAAGAGACAGAAGACTTTCAACCCAATGGAGAACGTTGAGCTGAACGTCGCCACGTGCCCGGTTTGCAACAACAGTGTCTTCGAGGGGCAGGTGCACTGCTCATCATGTGGGCAGTTGTCTCCCCTCAATCCACGCCTGTTGAAAGAGCAGCAGAAGAATTACATCGTGCAGCGTTCCAATCTGCTGAAGAAGATGGGCCTCAGCACCCACGTCACAGCCCAGGTCTTGGCATCTGTGGGAACATTTGACCTCCGCGAGGAGGATCGTAGCAGCATCATTCGTGGCTTAAACTCCCCGGACAGTGCTGTCATTCAGGAGGCACGGAAGAAGCTCAAGTCCGCCCTGAAGAACGGCTACCACTCTCTGCTCGACCGCTATGAACTCGACCTTCAATACAGGGTTCGTATGCTTGAGGTGGGCCGTCGGGAGGCGGACATGCTCCGCATGGAGTTGAGCGCAAATCTCGTCTTGGCTGCTCCAAAGCAGTCGCAAGCCCAGCGCACTCTGGGAGTTGGCCTTGGATCAACTTCGGAGTCGCGAATCGCAAGGCTCGCGTACATCAAGACAGAGTTGGAGTTCCTGCCCAATGAACTCCAAGATGCGCTTTCCTCTCGCTGGATCATAATGTTCCAAGGGATGCCTTATAGCCCGAGAGCTTTCATCAACGTGGTTTTTGAGCAAGACAAGCCTCGCAGCATCGGTTGTTGGAATGGCATCATCCATCTGCGAAGCAACACGTTGGACGACCTCCGCAACGAGATGGACTGGATTTTCAGCCAGAATGAGCGGTATGCACGTAACTCGATTGAATTTTCGAGGAACGAGAGCAGCAAACACCTTGCTCGCAATGCAGCCCGCTATGCCGAAACAAGTGCTCCCGCCGCCCGCGAGGGTGAGCATTGGAGCCGAGGCAGCTGGCAGAATTGGTCCGAATGGAGCGGATGGGGTAACAGTAGCGGAAGCTATTCGACTTGGCAGTGGCGCTGAAAGCGCAACTGTCATGGTTTGCACGAAACAATGGTTCCCCTGACCTTCTCCCTCTGTTGTGTTACTGTTTGGCTGCTTTGTGAAAGGCCCCTTTAACACGCAGAGGGGGGTGAAGAATTTGATCGGTCAGTATGGGGTTTTACATCCATTGCATCCGCAGTGTGGCTGTTCAAGCGTGAAAATGTGCGAGCAGCGCACTTGGACGGTTTGTTGTTTCCTTTTGGGCCCCAAACCGGTAACCCTTGAATCTATAAAATCGGAGCAATGTTCAGTTGTCCAAAGCCTTCGTATTGGTTTTGAAGTCGTTTTGGCGACCATCGGTTGAGGTCCCTCCTTGGTCTGAACAGACACCACCCGCTTTTCCAGGTGGTTGGCCATTTTTTGAAGAGAAGGACCTCGTAAGAGAGACGAACCACTTTAATAGGTAACCAGAGAACACCATCGCACAAGGCCTATGCGTCACTGTTGCCATGTTTCTTAGACACTACTCAGTCGGTCATGCCAAGGGTTGGAAAGGACAAACATACCTGGCAAGCCTACTACAGTTGCTTGCCTGGAAGCATTGGCTCGGTCAAGGAATGGGACCATCTTACATCTTTGCCCTTGTGAACAAAGAGAAGATGGCTAAGTCTTACAGGTTTCAACATGTCCCCTGGTCGGCAGCCGTTTTGGGGGGTCAAGTTGACCCATGAAACACGACACGACCGCCCGCAGGTCTGCTTCGCCGCTCTCGGCCTCGCTGTTCCTGCACTCCATGAAGCCTATGCCGGGGGGCCCCACCCATTCGGTTCAAGGCCGAAAGCCGAAGCCAGGTCCAGTTTCCGTCAACCCGCATATAGCCTCGAGGTCTGACAATTGGCTTGAGATCACATTAAAAGAGCAACTCGAGTTGCGCTGTTAATGTGATCTGAAGCCAATTGTCAGACCTCGAGGCAAGTACTCTTGATATGCTTTGATACCCACTGTTAAGGGTACACGTTAAGCATCGAAACATACAGGTTCCTCTGTAAATACATTTTTCAATCATGCCATCACACACCAAGCACCTGAGAGATTCAGGTCCTCCTGAGTCCCTGAGTTCCAAAAACATCCTCACCCGCTGGGACATGGTTTCTCCCTGAGAGGGGGTTAGCTCTGTTTCCATACATGTCCTGTTTGAAACCCGGAATGATGTAGTTTGCGGTTTCTTGACACTTTGTGGTGTACCATTAAAGTGGCAAGCGCCGGCCCATGGCGTTTTTCGCCGAAAAAGTGCAAAGGCCGAAGTTGCCCCAGCTAGACTTGTGCTTGAGTTGTTTGGGGCCTGTGTGTTTTTGGTTCTTGTGTTTGTCACTGTTTGTTGCATGCTTTTGTCAGCTTTTTAGTTACGGATTTGCAACACACATTTGTTGCTGCCAGACCAAGGTTTTGGAAGTTTGGCTGTTTGGTAGCTGTGTGACGACAAATGGAGCCAAACCCGGTAAGTGACAGTCAAACACCAATGGGTGCGGATTGGCCTTATAGTTCTTGAGCATGGGTTGTTGATAGACCACTTTGCCAGCTCATGACTCAAATGACATTGACTGGGAAGCCTGGGAAGGCTAAGAGATTCTGAGCTGCATTTTCTTGAAACCAAATTATCATTCAAAAGTGGTTGACCTTATGTTGTTCCCCTGGACAGCGTTCATCAAAAGCCCCCCGCTTTCACACGAAGCCACTGGCCCAATCAATTTTGCTAGTGATATGGCCACGATTTGAATGGGGAACCAGGGACATGAATCCACACCTAAATGATGTCCACCAAAGGGTCCCAACAAGCATTTTTAGCTATTCAGGGACCCCACAAACCACGCTTGCTCGGCAACATATCAGGCAACTTGCTGGTTGCTTTTGGTATCGACCAGACACAAATAAGAGAGGCCAGCGCCCTAAGCACCACAAACATCAGAGAAAGCATCGATGGTTACCAGTATTTCAGCCATGCAGGTCGCAGTTTCTTATTTGTACATGTGAAGGAAGCCCATGCACCCGCCCAGTGTCAATCATAGCTTCTGATCCGTCTCAAACAATCTTTAGTCTTGATCAAAGTCTTGTTGCCCCTGGTTCAGTTCAATATTCAGTATCCGAGAGAAGCGTTTTGAGGGGGGGCGTGCGCATTGATTTGAATCTAGAGGGCATGTTTTATGGTGTGTCAGCAACCTTCAATCCAGACTGCAACACTTGGATTCTTGGAAAGACGGGACATGTAGTTAAACGCTTCGTCTATTGGATTCTATTTTCCAGTTGCATGCTGCCTCTCTTTGTGCCCTCTGTCAATCTCAACGGAGACTGACACCCCAACCTCAAGACAAACCAAGCGAGCAACATGTTAGCAACTGTTATTCGGATGGAAACAGCAAAAACAAGAACAACAAAAACTGAGAGAACAACAAAATCACGTCTCCAATCGTGTTGATTGCTTAATTATGACTGGAGGCGCCCAACATGACCGCCAACCCGAGTTTGTTGAATTGCGAGAAGAGTTGTTGTTACTTTGCTAGGGGACCATGGCTCCTTTTTGGGTCAACTTCGCAATGGCTCAGCGCGGTGGCGCGCGCCTGAGGTATGACTTGATGGGTTGGGATCCCTGGACCTACTACGCGGTACAAGGCAAGGCCCCGGCCGCAAAAAGAGTGGTTCCACTGAGGCAAAACGAGCCACCGCAGACAAAGCTGCATGCCCTCGCCTTTGTTTCTTTGTTTCTTTTGTGTTTTTGCTTAAATCAGCCAGAAAACAGGACTCCTCTTCGGAATTTCAGCTGTAGAAATCAACCGGACACTGACCTTTCCCATGGAACTCGCGGAACTGTGTCCCTTTTGGACGATCGTTTCGTCCAGGATGGAGGAGCCCAGTCAGATTCCTGTGCAGAGGGAACGTGTTGAGGCAAACTCTACCTGGGTGGTAGGTTTCGGCATGTCAGTCATGGCCCACACACTCAGAGAGGACCAATCTGATTCAAACAAACATGTCCAAGCAGTTGTTTGAACTATGTGTTGCTTTCAGTCCTTGGTGCTATGAAACTAAGCGTGGAAACCTGGTTTACACCCATTCGGACCAGCAAGGCGGAACAGACAGTGGCCTAGAGCAAAGTAGCTCTCACTTTTACTGGTGTCAGGGTTATCGCTTTTGTTTGCTTGTGTGCTTCTCCTGTCAGGTTGACCCTCATTGGTGGTTTGGGGATTTGAACCCCCGGGTTTTGTAGAGGGTAAACGGGAAGCCGATCCTGCAAACCACCAAACCAAACCACCAATCGGAGTGAAGCTGCTCAAAGATTGCGTGTTTCAAAGGGATTTGAAATCTAAGTTCAAACATCACTCATACTCATATATCGTTCAGCTAATGTATGTTGAACATGAGACTAGCTTAAAGTGTTGATGTTCTACCATGCCAATGGAACGTACATCCGATTGGACCCTTCCTGTTGAGTCGTTTGCAATTGGTCATGCTCCTTTTTTTTTATAGGAGGTCCAAGGTTGGGGAGCGTATCGTGAGAAAGTTCAGTTGGCACTTGGAACCGCACTTGTGGCCCACCCATAAAGCTCCAGTGGTTGCTAGATGTACACGTTTCTGGGGTGCCAACTGATTGTTACTCATGATATCTTGTGAGAGATGGAGATTTGATGTCTACCCCAAAGCTATTGACATGGAGACAATTTGCCATTGGTTTCTCTGGAGTTGCAGATCGCGCAGGTAATGCTGCAAGGACCAACTGCAACATTCAGCAGAAGGCGGGGTCAGTGTTTTTGTGGGCCCTGTAAAGTGATGGTAATTCCAGTTGTTTGTCAAACATAGCGTTGGGTCTGGGTGGAAAGTCGCCCAGTTGCTGGGTCATTGTGTGGTAACATCTTCCGTACATCTTTGCCCCTTGACTACAGTGGTTCAATCACGACAAGAGGCAAATCCTAGTTGAGTGCTGACCAAGTTTAGAGGGTCATTTTCTGGGGTCTCGTCCAAACAAAGTATGTTGCATTTGAGGGGGACCAAATGTGGAACAGAGTCAAACAATACCAGTTTGTATGTAACAACCTGGATGTCTTACGAAATGGGGGCAGTTGTTATCTTCTGATTGTCTTGGTTCGCTTTTTGTGCAAGGACACGGAAGCAAATTTCTGGTTCACTATACAATTATTTGCCGACCCTTGGGAGACAGAGGGTTCCTGGATCATGTCTATTTGTTTCTTTGTGAGCGAAGGGCGTGTTCGGTGAATGGGATCCAGCGAGATGCTTAATCGGTTTGCGAGGTCATCCATTAAGGTCCGATTGCAGGGCGGGCTCCTTGTCTCCGGCTTGGTTGTTTTTACATCTAGCGGCGCCCAAAACACTTCCCAAACGCAGCGTTGAAGCGTTGGATCGTTGGATCGTTGGATCCAAAGGCACATCTACCGCTCCCGGCCAGGCACGGTTTGGTATCGGCGACGTGTACTTCTGCGCCCTCTCCTGGGGTAAGCTCGAGGTGATCGAGGAGCGGACTGAGTTCTGAAGCACGACTTTGTTGGGTCCGCTAAATCTATGACTCACAGCCGGATTTGGTGGTAAAAACAAAGTTTCTGCTTTTTGTTGGCCAATCTACTCAGGAAGTGAGAAGAAGCCAGGAGAGAGAGAGAGGTCGGCAACACTCTGGTTTGGATGGGCAGTAGCGTCACTACCGGGAGAATTTCCTGTAGGGGGGGCCTTTAAGTCACCATTGTAGGATAAATTTGAACATGTCGCTAATGGACCCAGGCTGGTTGGGCTTTGCTCCTGGACAGGCGGATTGTCCAGTCTAAATGGCCCGGAGGAGGCGCTTTGTCTGGGAGAACTCGATCCATCCGGGGGCGAGGGTCAGGGGTCCAAATGGGACTATTGACTTTTTCCAACAGGAAGCCAAAAGGGAGAAACAAGCAGTATGTTCCTTTTTCTGGAACAAGCAGTCAATGAGTGCGAGCAGTGTTTATTGCCTTTACTTACCTGTTGCGTTGGCAAACAGTCAACTTGCTGTAGCTATCTCCATCGTTGTGGAGAAGACAACCGGCCAGCTTATTCACCTTGTCTGAGCGGATCATCAGCTCAGCAGGTCAGTTGGTGATTTAGGATAGGTTGCCTGTTTGTTTATCCTGGCAGAGTGGGGAGCGAACTGTCCAGTCTCCGTGAAACAGTCTCCGCCTAGTATGTTTCCAAAGACGTCCGGTACGCACCCGTTGGTTGGTAACCCCTCTCCTCCGTTGGAGTAGAAATTATCGGGGCTCAGCTGTCATCTACTGTGGGTCCTCTTGGCATTTGTTGGGAACGCGCCCCAAGTTGTACGCAGTACCCCTGGCTGGAGGTCTGGGTGGAAGAATACAATTAATCTTTCACCTTGTTGCTTCCCCTTACTTTTGGGTCCATGTTTTGTGGTGGCCCCAAAAGTTGTCCCTGTGTGTTTTTCTACAACTAGAGTCAAAAGTACTCCCCGTCCATCTTTGGCGTTTGGACCAGCGCGACTAAAAGCTACGGGGGCACCCATACTCGGAGAGAAGGCCCCAATGGTCGAAAATTGAAAACTGGTCTTCCAACTTTTGTCATCCTGCCCAGTTTTCTCTGTCGGTTTCGAACATCATCCGGAAAGGGCAAGAAGTCGGTGTGAACTTTGGGGACCCTTCGCAGGTTGTGTCCACCTACCAATTTGGATCATGTTTGAGGGGTTCCGAAGGGGTTCCACAGTAATCTGGATTGGCAAGTGATCTATCTTTGGTGGGGTGATGTTTATAAATTACAAAGGGCTTGTCATAAATCTTGATCTATTTGAGTCTTCCAAAAGCTGGTGTGATGGGGCGGGCGGTGTGTTTGGGGGTTGCCGCTCGGCAGCATCAATTTACAGAACTGACCCAACAGGACCCACTGGGGATCAAGCGCCTCGGGCACCATGCGCTGCACTGCGCCGAGGTTGCAAGCAAAGGCCCCTCAAGGGAAGCCAAATGGAGGCTGTTCGAGACATGGTTTGAATCGTGCAACCCTGCACCGGTTTGAGTTCAGTTCCTTGTGGGGTTCATGCGTCTTGGGTTCAACCCAAATGATATCTGGGTATATTCCCGAACAGCTGCCCAAATAAGCTCAGGGGTGGTTCGGAGCAGCGCTCACGGAGGGTTCCGAAGTGTTCCAGGGGGTTGCGAGGCTGTTGGGGATACCAGCTGGGATGTTTTTGTTCAGCGCATCTCTCCCGCGCTTTTGGCACGTACAGAAAGAGACAAGCAGTAATGTGGTTATCCAATGTTATCCAAGGGAGATCAGAAGTCGCAGGGCCGGATTACAGGGGAATATTCCGGATTTCGGACGTTATTGTTGCATAGGTCTAACCAACAAGAAACTGACCTCCTACAGATTGTTTGTCATACAACCCCTTTGACTGAAGGACGTGGGCCTTGAACAAGGATTAAGCCACAGCCCAGTTGCCTAGTGCATGCCGCATTTTCTCTTGTTTGGTTTGGGTTCCAGCTATCCACCAATAATCAAGCAGCTTCTTGTTACCCCGATGTGTACATTGAAAAAACCAAAGTGCTATGCAGGAGAGTAATTTAAATTGTGCCCAAAGGCGATATCATACATCATACGTATGGGCAGTGAAAGCAGGTCACCCTAGTCACTTGCCCCAGGTAATTCGAAAGGCCTTTTCTATGATGTTATCGAACACCCCTCCTTAGCCGACGGGTTTGTCTCCAAGTATGGAAGCCCCCCAACCCTTCTAAACACATCCACCACAACCCAAACAAGTGTATCCTCTACAATTGCCACTCCCATAAGAGGGCATTTGACCCCAAAGACCCCAAATCTTGCGTCGGCTTTGGTCTTGCGCCGTCCATCTTTGGGCCGGTGCCTTGGGTCCGAGCCTGGTGGTGGGCTATTGAAAAGGACAGACCGAAGGCGCCTTTCACTGGAAAGGATCTTATAGGGGCGCGGTTGGTTGAAACAGTAACACAAGATGCCACTTGTCAGACTCTCGATGGTCTAAGCGGTACGCCGCAAGGCCAAATAAGACCAAAGGACGACCAATGCCTTTCCTGACGCAAAACGCGCTGGGAGGGTTTTACCATCCCTTGAGAAAACCACCTCACGCGACCACCGAGGTGGCAACGGACGCAAGCCCGCCTGTCATGATTGAAGTGGCTGTTTGGCTAACACCAGGCCTGCGACTGTCCTGTGGGATGGTCTGTTACAATGAATGTCTCGCGTGTCGGTTCTTCAGTGAATCACGGTGGACTTGATTTGGTTTTTGTTTTGTGTGTTTACTTTCTTTGTTGTCTGTCTGTCTGCTTGCTTGCTTGCTTGCTTGCTTGCTTTGCTTGCTGGCACCTTGTAGCAAATCGAGGATCGAACTCAAGCAGGTGAGAAGATTGTCTCTGCGCAACAGAGGTCAATATCCTTTGGACTCGACCTAGTCTCGGATGAATTTCCTTGGGTGCTAAAAAGACCAAGCCCAAATTGGACAGATGTGGTTTTGCAGACCCCCTATTTTGAATCCATCTTATTGCCAGCAGGCAATCAGTGCGTGTTGTGCTGGAGGCATCCTCGGACCGCGACCTCACCGTGTGTCAGTTGCCGCCAACATGTCTGCCGCTGAAACGCAATTCCTTGATCTCTCCCTCGTTTCCAAGGGGCTTCCATTTGCTGTGGCTTCTGTAAAGAGTGAGACAACGCCCTCCCTTCAGGTTTTTGTAGTAGTACCCAAAAGGGCGAAGCAAGCAGTCAGGCAGGCAAGCAGGCAGGCTGGCAGGCAAGCAAGCAGGCAAGCGCAAGCAAGCAGGCAGGCAGGCAGCAAGCAAGCAGGCAGCAAGCAAGCAGGCAGGCAGGCAAGCAGGCAGGCAGGCAAGCAGGCAGGCAGGCAAGCAGGCAAGCGCAAGCAAGCAGGCAGGCAGGCAGCAAGCAAGCAGGCAGGCAGGCAAGCAGGCAGGCAGGCAAGAGGCAAGCGCAAGCGGAAATGAGCAGCAACCGACCATAGAGTACTCAAGATGCGCCTGGTTTCCCAATCAGCCATTTCCCATAAAGAGACCTGCTTGATGAAACATGGTTCGGAAAAAAAGACGACAGTTTGACATTGGAAGTAATCAACAATGTCGACATATTATCGGGGATGCAAGGAACATTGACAAGGGCTAGAATAAAGCTTATGTCAGGGTTACATGGATGTGTATTGGCAGCCTTGGTTGTTTCGGTTTGATTCCTTTCATGTGAGCGTTCAGAGTCGGAGACCAGGTGATATCGGGTACAATGGCTTTGTTTCGGATGCTACTACACGCGTGATTATTTGTTTGGTGCAAGCTGGCACCCGTTTATTACAAACCCGTTTGGGGTCCCCTAAAGAAAGGCCACCCACAAGGTCCCAGGCTGTTAAAAAAAAAAAAAAACAAAAAAAAAAAAAAACTGGAGGCGAAAGCTGCGTCACACGTGCTTGCCCCCGGCTTTTCTGCATTTTGTCGTCCTTGGCTCATGCTTGGCAGTGAACGGGAGAATTAGGACAACATTGCTTTTGTGCATAAATGCACAAACACCCAATGATTTGTGCATAGTTGCAGTTCAATTGCTCGAACATCTGAGTCAGCAAGCTGCAGCCAACGCGTGGCAATAGTCCTTCCCAAAAAAAAGCTGATACCTCCAGCTATGCATGTTTAGAGTGAAGCTGAGTTGGTACATAGTCTTGCAATGATTGCCACCATTTGTCTGTACATTGAGTCCCGACTGTGAAGCAAGAGGGTCGTTTCCGTGCTCCCCTTGTCACAGAGACTCTTCTGGCAAATTCATGTTTGGTGGGATGGACATGGTGCTCTCCAGGCGCTTTTTGCCAGCTTCTGCAACCAACATTGGCCATGCATCAAACCGTCTGCACTGTGTGCTCGTGTGCGTGCAAGCCTTTCATAGCGATAGCAACATGCCCCCTCCCCACCCCTCCTCCCCCAGCCCTGCTCACAACTGCAACTCGACACATCACAGCCTGAAACGGCAAAAAAAACACCAAAAGTACTAGGTTGTTTACCAGCCTGTTTCCACCTAAAAGGGTCCTGAAAGAGGGAAGTGTCCTTTGCTGAATTTGTTGTGGGATCCCCCCCCCCTGATTGGGCTTGAGCATGAAGGTCGCTGAGGGACACACCCAAGAATGCCCGATTTGTCATGATCATACTGTGGATGGAGGAAATCCTGCAACAGTGGGCAGGTGATGTAGACGATGTATCCCAAGATCCATGGGGGTTCATCCATCCCAACTGGTGCCAGATTTCATCCATCCACAGTGCGATGTAGGCGCATGGCCCCGTTTTTTGTTGCGATTTTCCAACTTGAACCGCGTAATGTTTCGGCGGGCATCTTTTGAAACCCTTGTTGAAGCATGTGTTCTTTGTGCAATAACGTAAGTAGTTGTCCAACTTAAATAGTGACCAATGTGTTGGGAAGTAGCGAATATGGACATCGATTTGAATTCGGAACCGGTTGGTGGACATTATGTTTAGGGTGGGGTGCACGTCCAACAGCCACTGTTGAGGTGGTTTCTTACTAAAGTTTATGGTCATATCCCTTGTTGTAGCAGTATTCCTTTTTGACATCTTGCCGCGGCAAATCGCCATCTTCACTGCTTTGTCCAACTTGAATGGGCGGGAAGTATAGATCGAAACCTTTCTTATTACTGCCTGAGCGCCCCACATCCCGTAAGGTTGTTGGGTCCTATCCCGCTGAACCTAAAAGACCCCTGGATTTTGATTGGAGTTCCGAGCTGCGTTATTGCGTTACTCTGTTGCGTCCGCTTTCCGAGCCGGAGCACTTTCGAGTTGCTCTTTCTAAAAGAGCTGCAACTCCTTAAGCTTTCTGCAAACACTAGGGCTTCCTCAAAGCTTCCCAGTTGGTTTTTTTGCAACCTAGTTTGCAGATTGGGCCGGTATTTCTTGTCCAAACTGCTTTTCACGGTTCCCGCCATGCGCAGGGCTCGTGGCGGCTAGGCTTCCCCAATGCTTCTGCAAGGCTTCCCAAGCCTTCCCTGCAAGAGAAGCCCTTTTTTGAGCAAGGGGGGGGTACGGGCTCCAGAACTTTAGTGCCGACTCTTGTGCTTGCCAAGCAACATTGTAGGCACAGGATATTGGTGTAGGTGCCTGGTCCTTAGACTTTCAATGAAGGGGTGGCCACACCAACTACAAACTGGGCATCTTATCGGTATTGAAAGGGGGGGCATTTTGCTTGGACGCCACTTGCACCTCGCTTTTTCGGACGAAGATATTACAAAAGCTGCGCGGCAGGATTGACGTGCAGTGCATCTTGAAGCTTTTGGGCTTTGTCGGGGACCCCTCCCACGATAAGCCGCTTGGCATTGAACGAAGACCTCAGCAAATTCACCTTGTTGGGTTTTCCACCAACCACTTCAAGCCATGGAGGGGGAGGGGATGACCCTGGAATCACTCTCTGAGTTGACTTCTTGGGAAGACCATTCTGGTGGCAAACAAAAAGCTTGGACGTTTCTTGGGTTATTCAGCTCAGGAAATGAGAAAAGGGGTGGGTGACCCTTGGAATTTCCTTTGCTTTCTGCAGTTTCCACAAAATGTGGGGATAGATCAAGGGAATTGGGGACTCCCCCTGTGTTGCTTTTGCTTCGCAAGTTGACCCTGCAACAACCACTACCATTTTGGCTCAAGGCCCCTCTTGTACCATAGGCACGCAGCATTCATTCTGCAGGCATTACAAAAGGACTTCAGCAGAGCGCCTTACAGGGATAAACCACAGATTGCAGGACCAGGGACATCCATTCTCAGTTCCTCCACTATTGGCATATTGGACTCTCTTGCAGAATAGATCCAGGGACCGTCACACATATTCTCTACTACCACAAGGTACCTGTTCCCTTCGAGGATACGGTACCCCCGGCAGTGGGTCTCAATTGTGGTAGCGGAGCAGGTTTTCCGCAGAGATCCATACACAATGTCATCCGATGGAGAAGGCTTCATGGAAGCCTATTCAAGTGTTGGCCGACCATCCGGCTACACTGAAGAGACACTCAACTTATCGATGACCGCCAAGCAGCCGCCATCGTACGACGGAAGAGTCAGCTGGTTTAGATATGAAGAACTTGTAGATTATTGGGTGACCTTTACCACCATCGAGGCATCCAAGAGAGGACCACTCCTCAAGAGCCGTCTCACGGGAGACGCTCACGTGTCCAAGGCAGTCCTCCAGAATGACCTCTTGCAAGATCCTGACGAAGGAGTCAACTATTTCAAGAACACGCTGAAGAAGTTCTTCCTGAAAGGGTCGACCAACGCAGGAAATTGAAATGTTGTTCCCCTGCCCGCTTTGTATCTCCCTTTTGAGTCGATGAACTTTCTGACAGCGTCGCATGTGTTGATGGAGGGAAGGAGGGGGGGTCCTACTCATGAGCTCAAATTTGGACCAAAGCGAAATTTGGACCAAAGCGACTCTCTGCTGAACAAGCCAGTGAAGTTCATCTTACTTCAATCCCCTAGAAAACATGTTGAGTTCCTTGGCGTGTGTCAGGCCAGCGATGCGACGAACAAGCCACAAGTGAGGAGCGTGCGACCCTCATGGTGCTGGAATTGGCGTCAGAACAAGCGGCCTGATTTTGTAATGAGCAGTTGTGTGAGTGCGGACACTTTCCGCAATTCAGTTGTTTAGGCAACGCCAGTAGTAATTGGATTTGGAGGTCGTTTTCCTGTTTGTTTCCGTTGAAATCCTACCAAGCAACGGTCCCCTCTTTTGCGACGCGTCCATGTCGGGACATGTCTCTTTGTCGGTGAGGCACCTTATGGAAAACAAACGCCACGGCCAGTTCCCGTCCAACGCGGCGAGTTGGTTGTGAGACTTGGATCTGTTTCAAAATAGGGGAGTGTTACTCGTATCCTAATTGACGTCTAGATTCTCAAGTCCATCTGCATGACATAGGCCACTGGCCACTCCAATAAGCAAGACGTGAATTCCATCCACCGAAAGCAAGTCACCATAGCAAAGGGCTAAAGACTCTGCTCGATCAGCGCAACCAGACCTTACCCAGGTTTAAGGCTTCCAGTCTATCGTGGTGGCAGAGTAGGCAATCTATATGTTTAGGGGTTTGGCTTAGGGTCATCGAGGCCTAGGGCTTCAGGTTGCAGCCAGGCTCCAGCTTGTGGCTTGGGGCCAACAGAGACTCGGGTTCTGTTTTTGGGGTCGGGGCTGCAAAAGCAGATGTGTAACTTAGCTCACACACCCATGCTTTAACTTGCAATTCGAGGGACCATGGCTTGGCTGTTGAATTCCCGCAGACCTCCAGTGATTCATGAGGAATTGAAGTGAGAAACAAGGGGCCTGGGTTCCAGTTTTGCCAACCCCGTTGAGCAGTCTGGTAGGGCCAACGAACGGGCCAGTGACTGTTCACAGCCTGATCGGTTGCTACCCCGGACTCCCAAAGCAGGCTATGGGCCCTTGGCCCGACTTTGGGGTACGCATGGAAAATCAGGAACAAGATGTTCAAACTCTGCTCATATTCAGCCCAAGCACTAAGATAGCATCGCTGGTAACTTCCAGCACTTCCTGGTCCACACTTTTGGAGCCTGCTGCGCTTCATCAGCGGGCCCTAGTAAACGGAGGGCCGTGACAGACCTTGCTTTGTTTGGACAACGTGCGCCCTACAAGTTATCCGATTTCACTAGGATAGAGCTTGGAGTGGCTTTGAATTGCCAGGGGGTTCAGCCTTTGATTGTAGCTTTTTTCCCTGGGAATGCCCTTTCTTTGTATCTTTCAGGTCAAGTTGTGCGCAGGGAGCCACTGCGCTGTGAGCCTCCGACCGCCGGCGGGTTTCGAACCGAACCGCAGAAATGCGAAATTCGAGCCCTGAAGTCCTGAAGCCTGAAGTCTCGAAAGCCATGGCGATCCGAGCGGCCTGCTTGGAGAGCACGATCTCCAAGGCGCGCTTGTCAAGGAACCCTGCCGTTCCAGTCGGGTCCGTGTTGTGGTTGCACGGGGTGCGTCACAGCTCAGAAGCATATTCACAACACAAACAAGCAAGTTTGTGTTGTCAGAACTAGGGAAATGTACTGAAGTGGGCAAGCAGCCCTGCCAAGAATGCCTCAAAAAGCGATGAGCTACGTATCCAAAACCTACTTTTGAAGTGCAGAGGTGAACCTTCAGGTGAGTTCATCGCCCGCCACAGCATGGCTTGTTACTGAGCACCCGAGGGCCTATCAAGATCCGCACTTCTCCACCGGACACAGCAACCAGGCAGGAGAAAACCATCCGTTTGATTGGCATCCACACACACACATGCACGCACACAAGCCAACGCGCTCGCCCACCGCGCGCCCAACCTTATGCACGCCCTCACGCACTCACAACACAGCTCAAACGCAACACAGCGCAAACACACAAAACACACAAACAAGAGACACACGCACACACACAACCCACACAACACACACAATACACCCGCACACAAACACAGCACGCATACACACACACCAACACACACACACACACACACACACGCACACGCACACGCACACGCACACGCACACGCACACGCACACGCACACGCACACGCACACGCACACGCACACGCACACGCACACGCACACGCACACGCACACGCACACGCACACGCACACGCACACGCACACGCACACGCACACGCACACGCACACGCACACGCACACGCACACGCACACGCACACGCACACGCACACGCACACGCACACGCACACGCACACGCACACGCACACGCACACGCACACGCACACGCACACGCACACGCACACGCACACGCACACGCACACGCACACGCACACGCTCACACGCGCACGCACACGCACACGCACACGCACACGCACGCGCACGCGCACACACGCACACGCACGCACACCACGCACACGCACACACGCACACACGCACACACGCACGCACACACGACCCCACGCACCCACGCACCCACGCAACCCACGCACGCACCCGAGCACACGCACCCACGCACCCACGCACCCACGCACCCACGCACCCACGCACACACACCGCACGCACACACACCGCACACACACACACACACCGCACACACACACACACACACCGCACACACACACACACACCGCACACACACCGCACACACACACCGCACACACACCGCACACACACCGCACACACACCGCACACACACCGCACACACACCGCACACACACCGCACACACACACACCGCACACACACCGCACACACACCGCACACGCGCCGCACACGCGCCGCACACGCGCCGCACACGCGCCGCACACGCGCCGCACACGCGCCGCACACGCGCCGCACACGCGCCGCACACGCGCCGCACACGCGCCGCACACGCGCCGCGCCACGCGCACGCATGCGCGCGCACACGCGCCGCACACGCGCCGCACAACGCGGCACACGCGCCGCACACGCGCCGCACACGCGCGCACACACACGCGCCGCACACGCACACCACAACACCGTCGCGCCCACCAACGCGCCCACACGCGCCCCACGCGCGCCCCACGCGCCCCCACGCGCCCCAACGCGCCCACGCGCCCCGCCCGCGCACGCGCCACGCGCCACGCGCCCCCGCGCGCACGCGCGTGCGCGCACGCACACGCACGCGCACGCGCCACCACACACGCACGCGCACACGCACAGCGCACCACCCGCACAACCCGCACACACCCGCACACCCGCACACCGCACACCCACACGCACACCCGCACACACCCGCACACCCGCACACCCACACCGCACACCGCACACCCACCACCCGCACACCCGCACACCCACACACCTGCACACCCACACACCCACCCACCCACACACCCACACACCCACCCACCCACCCACCCACCCACCCACCCACCCACCCACCCACCCCACCCACCCACCCACCCACCCTGATCTGCTGCAAATCGACAATCCAGAAGTACTCAGGCAGTACCTTATAAAGGCATGCAGACAAGGCACAGGGACGCATTTCCCCTCAGCGACAACCTCATTGCACAATTTTTCATAATCCAGAGTGAATGTCATATTAGAGAGAGAGACTGATCAGTGCAATGTCGTTGAGAAACATCTCGCTTGAGAACTACACCTACGAGATGATGAAAACGCAGTACCGCGACCTCTTCATCACAACCAGAACATCCATCCAAGATCCATCCATCCATCCGACCTCCTGGAGGAAATCGGAGCAATACCTTCTACATCCTGGAACAAGGAGAATACGAAGGTGCAGAAGGCTTCTGCGGTGGAAGACAAAGAAGGACTGGAAGGTTTCATGTCAACCAACGATGAAGAGACATTGTGGGTATTGGAGAAGAGAAAAGGAAAAGGAAACTCAACAAGCAAAAAGGGCAGTCACCAACGAGGTGGCTTCAAACCCTTTCGAAAAGGTAGCTCTGGCGGGCGGGAAGGCCAATATGGCCAATGAAAATCAGGATCCCTACGACCAGGCATATTGCAAAGGAAAGAAGGGAAAGAAAGGAAAATCGAAATTCCGATATCCCTATGATGGAAACAAAGGTTATCCATCCTATGACAATGGCAAAGGAAAAGGCGGACAAGAAAAAGGAAAATCCAAAACGTTCGCAGCCATCGCAGAGAAGACGGAGGAGCAGCCCGCCATCCAGCAGACTGCACCATGCACAGAGCCTACCTATGCCGGTTGGACAGATCAAGATTGGGCTCCATCCTGGAATTGGAGTGAACAAGGCTGGTACTCATCCCATGAGACATCCATCGCAGAACAAGCGATGATGGCATTCCATGACGCATATGAGCAGCATGAGAAGGACGCCATCCATGAGAAGATGATCCAAGCTGATACAGTTTCAGAGCAGTCAATTCAGAGCAGTCAATGACAGCGACAGCAAAACAAAGCCTTTTGGCAACAAAGCGGATGGCGCCTGTCATCAACCCACAGCGCAATCCGACCTATGCGATCCTGGACAACGGATGTACCAGATCCATGGGCAGCTGGCATGCATTCCAGCGTTTTACCCAGGCCATCGAACCCATGAAAGACCTCATCTCCTACTCGCACATCCCGGCCGAGACCAAGTTCACTTTTGCAAATGGAGAGACAGCCAAGGTAAATTGGACCTTGCACCTCAGGTATCATACGACACCTCCAACATCATCCTTGAACAAGGCACTGTACCAATCCTCCGCAAATCCAAGATCCAGGAGTTTGCAGAGCATTTCTTCAAGCACATTGACAAGGGCATCTCCCACTACAAGCACAGCAAGTATCAACCTGAACAAGAACAGTCCAGCGAGACAAAGAAAAGACGGCATTCGACAGATCATGATGAAGAAAGCATGAGCACAAGGGCAGATCGATCCGTCAAGGTCAAGGTCAAGGTCATCGTGGAACCTCCCAATCCGGCCAATGTGACTGAATTCAATCAGGAATTTCAGGACATCTATTTGGACCGGGAAATGTCCAAGGCCGATGCCGCAACAGAGCTCGTCGAGATTCAGCAATCATTCACGGAGTTCATGGAGAGGTACCACACGGATCCAACGAAGGTACACAAAGACCTGACCGATTGCGAACTGAGATCTTTGGCAGATGAGAACATCGAGGACGATGAGTTCTACTTCGAGCACGCAAGTGCACATCCGACCATGGAAGAGTTCAGAGCAGCACAGAATATCCACTGAGACTTCCAATCGGACTCAAGCAGTTGAAGAACCACCACGATCCCGAGCTCATCAGGTCATTCACGAACATTCTGGGATCCTTGATGCAAGGAACTGATGGCCATGTTGTCGACTGCCTCAAGAGAAAAGATTATCCATCCACCATTTCACTCAACGTCCTGACAGTGAATCACGGGAAGCTCACAAGGAATCCAAAGCTGGATAATCGTGAACTCAAGTCATGGCCAATCAAGCACCCACCGCTCATCATGCAGATGGTGCAGAACAGTGCACACATCCTTTGCATCAACGAGGCAGATGCGTTCTTCTACCCAGAAGAGGACAAGACCATCGACCTCAAATGCGGATACAAGGGCATCGTTCTCAAGCTATGGTCATCCAAGTCCATCGCATGCTTTGCCCGAGGTGGTAAGCACGCCAGAGTCAAACTATTGGCGCGTTGCATTTCAACCAAGAGCCAATGCTGGAGTACTACATTCGGAATGTTCAGATGTTTCTTCGGACTCGAGGAAGGTTACACTGATCCGGACTACGATACTTCCACATTCGACTGCCTGTCATCCACCGGAACATCCATGTTCATCAACAAGGAGAAGTATGTTGCACAGAGATTGCCACCGCGCACAGCCGTTCAATGGCATGGCAAGAACAGTGAGATTGTCGTCATCCACATCGAGCAGAACAATGAGATCCGCAAAGCGCTTCCAAAATCCACCAAGGATCCTGTTCTATCCTGCGACACACGCCATGTTACCGAGCTGATCTTCCATTTGCCACCATTGGAGTGTTCCATATCCATCCGAACATCAGTCACGGTGCAGCTAAAAGAAGACGTGCAGAAAGGCATCATGCCGCTCGTTACGGAATACCAATGCGACGTGAGTACAGGTGATGCCAACAAATCCGCGAACACGTTCAGCAAGCTGCAATCCGTCTACAATCCTGAAAACGGCCTCATGAACTACATCATGGAGAAGTTCAAGAAATTTTGGAATGAAACACAGGACATGCCGTTAGCGGAACGAATGGATTTCACCATGTCGACTTCATTCACGATCAAATCCATTGCCCGCCACCATCTTCACATGAAGACAGGTTCAGGATATGATCGGACGTTTCCGGATTGCATGATGACCTTCATTCAGTTGGGGAAAGACCGACATCCAACGGGAATTCCGTCAATCCGAGATTGCCAAGCTCGACCAAGATACGATGGATTCCATGATAGAAGATGTTGACAAGGTCATCTCCGATTGCAAGGTCACATCCGTCGAGCGCTACAAGCACATCAACAATGAGATGCTAATGCGTGGACAATGCGACTCAGATTCTCACACCCCATTGCTGGTCTATGTCCGCAGCCTCGCAGCTGATCAGGAAAGAAATCTCCAGCGCAAGAAGGAGTTCATCCAGAACAAGAAGAAGGAGAAGGAGACCGCATGGAAGCCATGGGACCAATCCTAACAGCAAGGATGGAAGCGCTCTGGCTATCAAGGATGGGAGGATTATGGCGGAGGTTATGGAAGCCAATCTGACAGCAGCTATCGTTGGTACTCGCAGAATAGCGATGAGATACTCTGCCTACAGCCCACGCTGAGAGCACTCACACGGAAAACGACACCACGAATTCCAATCAATTGATCCTCCTGCACATCAAGAATATGCCTGCGAGTGATCAATAGTTTCACACCATCCCGCGTGTACAAAGTGTTTCGCACATTTGCGTTTTAGATACAGTTAGGTATCTCGTCCAACCAGTACAAAGCATTTTCCATTTTGCCAACAAGACAGTTCATCCGCGCCAGAACAGGATGATTCAAATTTAGATATGGCTACGGCAAGCACGCCATATCCATGTCTACGGCTAAAGGCCATGAAGCCAAGAATACCATTTTGGCGTTCAGAAATTGTGTCTGTTTTGTGTTGCTTTTGCTTCGCAAGTTGACCCTGCAACAACCACTACCATTTTGGCTCAAGGCCCCTCTTGTACCATAGGCACGCAGCATTCATTCTGCAGCCATTACAAAAGGACCTCAGCGACAGGAGCAGGGACATCCATTCTCAGTTCCTCCACTATTGGTATATTGGACTCTCTTGCAGAATAGATCCAGGGACCGTCACACATATTCTCTACTACTATAAGGTACCTGTTCACTTCGGAGATACGGTACCCCCGGCAATGGGTCTCACCCCCTCCCCCCCGCCCTCCAGCAAGCGGGGAATGCCCATTGCTTCCGGACCTGCGGTCTCTTCCACAACTAGCTTAGTCAGCACCAGACTTCAGTGGGTTGCCTCCAGCCCTTTTTCAGCTGAGGGAAACTGATTCCTCTACAGGAAAAATATAGAAGTCCCATTCACAAGACAGGTTCTGTTGAACCTCCTTAGAAGGGATTCTTAGAAGGACTCTGAAAACCTGTTTGGGGGACGACCGACTCTGTTTCTTCGTATGAACTGGGTGAGGTTCAGGTTCCATGCCTCTTCGGTTTGTGGTCGGGTACAGCTGCATGGAAAGTTTCTGGCGAGGCTTTTAGTGGTGTGCCAATAATAGGTGGTCTCCCACAGAATTGTTCGGTAACATCTGTTGTGCTAACTTACGAGGACCAAAACGATTATGGTGTTGTGGGGGACATGCAAAATCAAATGAAGTCATGATCATGCGAAACAAATGTAGCGGGTGTTTGTACCCTCAAACTACCCTTACAAGCCTGCTGTTGCCGCAAATAGGGTGAAGCCCCGCTTTTAGGGCAGTTTGAGTGTCTGGGTAAAAGCAAACATCAGCCCGGGTTTCGGGGTGCTGAAAGCGTAAGCAGCGCTTTCTGAGGGTCATGCACATCAAAGAGCTTGTCGGCTTTTGGGTCGGAGACTCAGATCAAATCGAAGGCATGAAATCGGAGGTTGCCAACGTCGGATGAAGAGGACCCCCTAGTCCCAATGCCCACTGATTCCGGCGGTAAAAGGAGGTAGTTGGCATGGTAAGTCCGGTGTGTATCTATCTATTTATTAAGTGGCTAATACAACAGATTGTGGGGTCGAACAAACATGGACCCCCTTAATCATCTTAGAGGGATTTTGCACCAAAAGACGACACCCCTGATCAGTATTTGTTCACTTAGTTTCAAAGTATGTTAAGAACTCAGCTAACCCGATTACCAGTTGGCAAGCCTCACGTTTTTTGGCTGGTGTAATCATTTAGGCAAGGCACGCGTGTTTTTCTCAGCTGGCAAGTTTGGGGTCTTTGCCCAATAGCTTTCAGGAATGATGTTCCAAGGCGTTTCGGGGCTGTGGATACCACCTGGGTTTGTTATACTTGTTCCCGGCCAATCAACCCAGTAGGTCAGCTGTCGGTGCTGCTTGCTATGGGAACACGGACCTGTTGCCCACCACGTCACGCCTGCACATCGCGAACTATCCCGGCACCTTTCCAACTGCATCTTTCTGTTGCATCAGTGATGAGGGCGTGTCCATTGAGTCCACAGGTTGTTGCCGGAGAGCCGCCATTGTTGATTTTGTCATCACCCTCGACACTCTCATCGCTGCCAACCCAGCAACTGACAGTGTGCTTGCGATGTGCGCTGTCAGATGCTGGATCCAATGCCCGCAAAGAGGGGCTTAGAGCCAGGGACCAATTTATCGGCCGAACCGGCCCCCGGTTTAAACAGTTTGGAAGGCTACCTGGCAAATGAGCAGGAATTGGTTGTCTATTTGACCACAACAGGGCGTATCGCAAACGAGCAAACGGAAGGTGTTCATGCGCCAGCCAGCTACTTGTGCGAATCTTTCGCAGGCCCCCCCGACAGCCCACCATAGTTCAATCCGAATCCTTCGATCCAGAAACCCCTTCCGAACCCTTCTTGGGTTGTAATCAGATCCTAAGTGTTCTTTCGCAGCGTCAGTGGCTGCACCTTTTGCGGGCCAATCCACTCGTTCGGAAGTGGGCAATGCAAGGTCAAAAAGCCTTACTTGGGGTCATGGACACTTCGCAAGGGAATTTTGACAGGGCAACCCGTTTCTCTTGTTCAAGTCCCCAAAACAAGGACGCTTTTTAACTCATGGCCACCGAAGGTTTGGGAAGGGTGGCCACTTTTTTATGAGACTTCTCATTTGAAGCATCATTTGGGTGTGTTTGTGCCGAGGAAATCCTTTTGTGGGGGGTGGGTTTAAAAGGGACACCAACAGGAAAAGCAACATTTTCAGGGATTCGCTCCCTACAAAATGCCACACCCAATTGAAGCAATGCTCTTGTTCCAACGCCGCTTAGAAAACCCCCGAGGTGAACGATGACCCCAGGCGCTACGTGGTGGCAGAGCCCGTGAGTGCCGGGTGCCCCAATTTCCAAGTTCCAAGTTCGCCGCTCTTTGCAGGCAAAAAACAACCGCCTGGTTTCGTGATCTTTGTGTTGATCAAGGTTCAATAAAACCCACTGCACCAGCTTTTACTGCCTGAGTTCTTCTCACGTTAAGCTTTCTGGGAAGACATTCAAAGGTTCAGACTGTTTCTGCCCAATCCACTCAGGACCAGGAGTATCCTGAAACAGGGAGTCTGTTTGGGATCCATTTTCAGGCGGATTCCGAAGCCATGGTCCAGAAAGACTGCCGGGAGCATGGATCGCGACCTGTTTTTGTGGATTCTCCGGAAATCTGTGTATATATCTTGTGTTTCCCCCATGTTACACCCCGGCACTTTCGCACTGCCTTGTTCAGCGGCTTTCGAGGGATCTCTCTCAGTCAGCGTCAGCGTTTGACCAAACATTTGCACATGATTTGAGCTTGAGGAGATTGGCGACCCCCTTTGCCGCAAGATTCTGTTCACAGTGGAGCTCTGGCATGGAAAGCAAAGTGGCACGCTGGCGCTCCCATGGAGCGCGACACTTTCGGCTAAACGACACCCAGCAATGCCCATTCCGCCAAAGAGGACTCACTTTAAGCCCAAAATCTTCACCTCATGGGTTGCCCCAAAACAGGCACCCAAAAAACATATGCTTCCTTGGGCCTGGGAGCGGATCGATCCCGTGAAAAACTTCCGTGTCAAAATCGGGGAACCCTTTTGGTTGTTTTACAACACCCCCCTTCAATCTTTTGGGGGTACCCCAAAAGAACACAAGTTCACCAAACGTCAGCGAGTGGCCAAGGGAGCCCTTTTTGAAGTGAAATCCTACTTTGGTATCACAGACAGGTGTGTTTGTTTTTCCCGCAATCCTCTGAAAATGCCATTCCCTTGGCTACCTACTGTGTAATACATCCACTTGGGAAATGTGGGTGTGTCTCACCTTTCCGGGTTTTAAGGGAGCTAGGCACTGCATGGTATCCCTAAGCTGTCAAGAGCAGTTCACAGTGCAGCTGTTGCTGTGGGCCAATGCCGGTAGGTTCCAACACCTGCTTTTTCCCATCAACCCCGTCTTGGGCAGTTCCTTCAGGCATCCTTTTTGTGTGGGTTGGTTTCAAGGGGCCCTCCCCACCCCCCATGAACACTGGTTGCACAACAGTACTGCGGAGCCTTTAGGTGATGGCCACCAACTTTGGAGGCGCACCACTGCGACGTCGCCGAAAGGTGAGTTTCCTTTTGGTTTTCCTAAAAACAACAACCAAAAACAGGCACCCTCAACAAGGGCACCCCCAAGTAGTTGCACTTCTCTTGACTGTTTCTGGGGGGATTATCAAGGTCAACTTCGGTTGTCGCTCCCGTGGTTTGCCTTGAAACCGCCCATGTTGGTAGTTTGCTGAGGGTGCCCAACAAAGGGGTTGCTCGCAGGTTTTTTAAAGGGAAGCCACCAAGTTTGGGATTCCGGGACTTTGAGACAGGTAAACATACTTACATATAAACATCTACCCCAGTGCGAATTCCCCAGGTTGGAAGAAAGCCTTTCCACAAGACATTTCCACAAGTTTCAGCGGCGGTAAAACCCGCGCATATGTGGGGTCTCGGTAGACGAAATATGAAGCAGACTCTGAACATGTTTGCTGGTGTGCCCCAACTGCTTGGGGCCATTCATGAAAGTTCAATTGTGGCTGGAAAGTGTTGCATGGGTGTGTCATTTTTAGGGCACCCCAAAATGGGTTGCGATTTCCTTTTTTGCTTTCCCTTCAAATCAACAACAAGGGGTACCCGCAAGCACCTGCCGTATCTTCCGTAACGTTACGAAGGTGCGGTAGCAAGTCGAAAACTTGCAGGTCTGTCGTTTGTCTTTTGAAAGGGAGAGGTTCCCTTTGAAATCCAAAACGGGGCACCTGAGGGGACGGTTTGGTCCAAGCACGCAAAGAATGTCCGTTTGTTCAACGTACATTCTCCGGGGGTCATGGGAACCAACCATGTTGGTGGAGAGCGATGTTTGTATTCGCTAGCCCCGCCATGATCCTTTCACTGTGCAGTTGCAGTACACATTTGATTGTTGGACTGCCTGCTGTTTTGGTTTGTATGTATTATAGACCGATGTTCAAGATGCGGACATCGACTCAAAAAGCGCATACCTACAGTGTCTAAGTTTGATAATCCATTATTATGCTAAAACTATGCTTTTGTAGAAGCAAGCGCCAAAACATGTGTTGACAGTTTTCAGCTAGACAGCAAGCATAACCGTGTATACACATCCAAAGCTTGGGCACATCGCACAGAAACGGTCAATCCTCAACTTGCGACTAGGGATTGATTATGAGTATGCTTGATTCGACATGTTTTAACAAACTTGCCGACAACTCACAACTTGTTAGTTGGAATGTGCTCGCTCACCCGTATGACCACAAACTCAAATCACAAGCACACCTTGATATAAACAGACCACAACTAGCTATATTAAGTATTTGTTGTTTGTTGTTAACCTACTAGTTGATAGAAATTGCTCGCCTTGCTGAATAGGTAAGATGATCTCAATACTTGTGACATGGTCTTGTGTAATAATGTTATGCCGTCTCAATCTATGGCTACCCAGGTTGAAGACAACTCGTCATTCTTCATGTTGCATGTATCTCAGATTCACTCATATTCGAAGACTTGGAAGGGTAGATCCTGAGGGGAGGGCTCAGCATTTGGGTCGGGGGGTGACTGCTGTAAGGTCCCATGATCCAATCTAGGACTTGGCACACACCAGGCACCAGCTTTTCTCCGGGCGCCATCTCCTGGCGCGACGGATCGATCGAGGGGGTTTGGTCGGGCGGGCCGCTTTGGCCGGTGTTGTTCACTCCTGAGGTTTCTTTCGGGACGCCTCCATTCTGATCACTTGAGCAGCGCCATAAACCCTGGCTATACAAAGTAGTAAAGGGGGTGTCCTATAGACCCCCCCCGAAAGCCAAAACCCAGGCTGCGAAAGCCTGCGAAAGCTTATCAAGTGCCCAAAGAAGCTCCCGCCGCGAAAGCCCCGCGAAAGCCTGCATGTTAATGATGAGCAGGAACTGTTTTACATAAACTTATATTTGTGGTGCACTGCGTTTGAAAAGCCAATGGCCATCGTCAAAAGGCACCTGCAGTTTCTGCGCTCATGCAGTGCAAAGGGTGTGTTTCAAGAAGTCCGCCGCGAAAGCGCCGCGAAGGCAATTCTAAAGAAAACAAAGCATGTTCAGCCAGGCGAACATGTCTCCGTTGGCGGGGTTTGAACATCAATTGTTGAGAATGTAAGGTGGTGAACATGTGGCAAGATGAACTCAGCGAAGCTTTGGGGACGTACCAGGACCGAGCCCAATTCCCTCAATGATCCCCCCAAAAAAGGAACTATAGGGTGAAACATGTTTGTTCTCGGGGCCCTTGTTCCAGATTTCGGCTGCCGAGATCCCGTGTTTGTTCACTTCTGTGTCCGTGAATGAGCTGGCTGAGGGCGAAGGGTCCCCTATGACGGGAGGAGAGGTCGGTGCAAGAAATCGCTAGTTGAGTATTGGTTTAGAATTGGCCTGTTCTGATTTAGTATTGGGCCCGCTGGAAGTTGCAAACATACTGTTTCTTGTCGGAGGGGAAGAGATCGCCTTTTGTGTGTTGTGTTTCCGCATATTGGCAATTTGAATCGTGACTCTATCATGATGTGTTCTTGGCATAGTTGTGGGGGTTTCTTGCGTGTTTGGTTCTGTTCATTTGTTTCACGCAAGGGAAAGCTCATCCGGCACGCGAGTATCCACCAACATTAAACAAACGGGCTCCTCCCGAATTCTCATGTGTGTTGCCTGCTCGCTAGGCCTAATAAAAGGGAAAGGGCGTTGCACGATGGGACAGCTCGGTAAAATGGGACTTGGATGCATGAAATCTCTTGGTTCCTTTGGCTCTCCAACAAAATCAGTTCAAGGATGACTTGGCGGTGTTCAAATGATGGGTATGCTTCCGGGAAATGAGAGACAAACAACACACCTTGTTCTTCAAGACATAGACATGGTAAATTGGATGATCTCAACCCCAGTATTTCCATGGACAATTTGGGTCGATGTCCGTTCTCGCGACCACCCCCCCGTTAAGATGCGGATTTTGCGGGGTATGTTTGCATTTGCTTCCTTTTGTAATACACTAGAAGGGAAAAGCGAGGGTTGCTCCGAGCCTTTGAAAGATTACCACAGATGCAAGCTATAGATTTGGTGAACAGTAAGTATGTGGTTTGTTTTTTCAGGTTACCTTTTTTTTACGTGAAGATGCCGTTCGACATTTCAGGTTGTATCTCTGAAGAAGCTGTTTGGGTGTCTGGCAAGGGAGGTCGGTTCAACACCTAATGCGAGAGCTTGGAGTTTTCTTGGTTGACATTGGGGCCCCGCAAACATGTGGTTTTCCTCCACCAAAAACGGAGAACCAGAAGCGTTGGTACCTCCCAAAATGCGCCTTACTCAGGGCAGAGCAGGGGATGCACTTCATGCACCATCCCAAGGCGCGGTGTGGCGGCAGGGGTCGCGTTTGGATCCTGGGTTTGCCTCTAAGAGACCGATCTCCTCTTGCTGGTTCTCAGGGAATCGTTTGAGGGGCTTTGGGGTTAGACCGTTGATCCCTCAAAAGCAACCACCAGACACTGGTTGATAGTTTGGGCTCATTCCAGTTCTCATACAAATTAGCAAGGTTGGTTGGCTGAGCATCCGTGTTGAATGTGTAGGAGCCTTTTGGGAGGGAATCCAAAGTCCTGGTGTTTGTTTGGGGAGTGAAACTTTAGGCATCACGTCTCTGCCGGTGACTGTTCATTTCTCCCTCACACTTTCAAGCTGCGTTGGTTCTAAGGGAAATTAGCATTTGAAACCGAAATCCATGTTGGAATCCAATGCACTATTTCGACACATACCCAATCTAGTTTCATTCAAACCCGCAGTGGGGATGAGGCACTAAGCATGACAACCAAAACGCTGGGCAGACTTCGAACACCAGGCGGTGAGCACAATGAACTGGCGAGTATTCTGTCACCAGTAGTCTACGGGGAACCCCAAAACCGCGATCCTTTCTGAGGAAAGGAATCTCTTTTTGGGTATGTGGCAAAATAGGAGACCCTAAACATGAATTGTGGTGGACCAGAGCACTTGACCATGGCAGCTTCCTGTACAGCTCCCTTCATTCTAGGTTCGTGGTTTTACCCGCCTAACGAACCATGGCGATGCAGCGATGGGAGCGATTGCCGGGTGTCTGAGTCTGACGTTTTGGCTCCATCACCCGGTGCTCCAGTTGCCATGGCGGGCACCCGCAGGAAAGTGTGGCGTACAGCCTAGAGCTAGGATCAGTTCCGAAGTTTTCCACGCCCACGCAGTGCTTCCAATAGAAAATCAGAGGTAGCCGCCATGTAAAACCAAGCTAGAAAGCTTGGTCAATGGCCTTTCTTTTTCCAAACCATATTCCTGACACTACCCACAACAAATACTCCAAACATTGGGGGAATGGCCTTTTTCCCAGGTATGAGGGTGGCCCAACGCAATGCGTGCCAGGACTTGTTTGAGAAGGTTCTGCCCACCGGCATGGTGTTTGGGAAGCCCAGAGAGTGGGCTCCAAAATGACTCTTGAGGATGATGGTAACAAAGTCAGCAAGATTGGTGTTTCCCTTTCGCCTGATGTTGACCCCGGATGAATAAACCCCTATTGAATATGAGGCTGTCCTGGTTGTAGTGGGGATTCACCACTTTTGGAGGGACACATTTTTTTTTTTTTTAAAGGGGTTGTAAACTCATGGAGCGTCCAGATCGACGAAAACTTTACGAACACTTTGGCGGAATTGATTCGGTTCCGAGGGTTCTGTTGAGGGTCCTGATTCACGATGCCAACTGGAATTTGGTTGCTGTCTGAAAGGGCAACAGCGCCAGCCTCAGGGCGGGAGATTGGTTGTTTGTCTTGTCTTTCTTGGAGGGGGGGAGTCTGCAGTTGTTGTTTTGTGGAGAGGGAAATGTCCCTTTCAACTTGTTGAAGGGGGGAAACCCTTTCGAAATCATGAATATGAATGGCGATGCGAACGGGCAAGGACGCCTAAGCGCCCCGACCTCCAGGGTCTTGTTTCAAATGCTCGTTGCTTTTGGCTGGCGGGAAAATGTGCGCCATGAAAAGGTCCGGGAGTCTGAAAATAGCGGAACCCTCCACAGTTGGCGGCTTTCTAACTCAGAAAAGGATATTGTGCCCTCGAAGCAAGACACACCGAAAGTAAAGGCATGCGATTGTGTTGGCCTTGGCCTTCTGAGGCCAAGACACAAGGCCGACGAGTCGGATGAGGGCACCTACCGACCAGCCTACGCGCTCCCGACTTGCTTGCTTTGTTTGTGCGTGCTGGACAAAACAAACAGTTGTTGTTGCCTGTTGTTGTGTTTGTTGTTATGTTTGATTGTGCTGTGTTTTGGCGGGTGCGTTGACACGGCGTTCTTGATCTCGGGGAGCGGCCACGATTGTTATTTGTTTGGGTTGGATGCTGTGTTGTGAACTAGGGGTCTTTCCAGGAATCCTTCTTAGTATCTCAGATTGTGTATTGTTTCAAGAAAGTAAAAGGAAGAGAGCACAACCATTCTGGGGCGCTCGAATTTTGACAATTTCTTGAAATTTGGGTAGTCGTCAGAGGCCCTAACCCACATGCCAACCCACTACAGACCAAGTCAGCCAAGGCGGAAGAAACAATCGGCAGCAGTTGGCAGCTTTGTTTTCAGGATGTCCCTTGGTTGGAAAGGGAAGCCAAAGAGAAACTGCCCATGAGAGCTCTCTACATTGCTCAGACTCCACTCACCGTTTTATTTGTTTTTCGCTGTTGGCTTGCCTTCCATTCTCCCTTTCCGCTGCACAACGTGAGCCTTTTGCAGGGGGTCGGATCCGTCTGGCGCCTGAAATTCGATGGCCAGAAGTCAGGGACTTCGGGCCTCATGAAGATCCCAGAGGATTCCTTGCTCGTTGGTGAATGATCACAGGAGGTTTAACAAGGACCAATTGAGTTTCGTCCTTTGCTGCCCTTCAAAACCGTAGCGTGTCTCTTTATTTTTTTCTGTTTGGGGGGCGCAGGGGGGGTACCCCTTTTTCGAGGGACCACCACTTTTGGGGGTGGTTTTCAAGCGAACCAAAAGGACGACTACCCTTTTTCGGGGTCCCCGAAAAAGATAGACCCATGTTAAGGCACGACATCATTCTTTCGTTGGACATTTGCCCTTGGCTGCGCACGGAAGCAGCAGACGCTGCTCAGCGGCGGAAATTGACAAGCAGGCGTCGAGATGGAAGAACGTGAGCGTACAATAACATGGGCCATGTGAGGCGCATGGGCATTGAGACGACCTCGTAGCTCCCGCGCCACAGTCGCGGAAGGATGCGGAACGTTCGCTATCACAGAAAGGTGATGTGTCTATCAGTTGCTTGAAACTCTTGCTCCGCCGGCTTTGCTGGACGGGTACAGCTGATCAGTACATCAGCAAACTTCATGTGGGGCCTTGGCTTGTGGGGGCCCTCTGCCCTCCAGAAAAAAACTTGAAGCCACGGGAAAACACAGGAAAAACACCAAAAAAACACCCAGATCCCAAACCTGCCCAAGCGCCCAAAGTCGACGCTGGCTCAGCGCGTCTCAAGAACATGCCGACGCCATTTACTCTTGCACTGATGACTGCAGCATCTAAACATCCGAACGTAAGCTGAGCGCCCACAAGCTCCCACATGCACACTCGTGGAGAACGCACGCAACACTTCCACCCACAAGCGCCCACGTGCGCCCACAAGACCCGCAAAAGAGCGCCCACAAGCGCACACAAGCGCCCATGAAAGGCATTAAACACTGCCGCCCAACACGCATGAAGGCGACCCCGAAAAACGCCGCCGAGAAGCAACCGCAAGTGCCAGTACCCGCACCGCCGACTGAAAGTGTCCATGGCAGCTAAAACCGTCCACACAAGGGCGCAAACCGCCCGCAAAAACAGTTCAGCCCCACATGCGCCCTCATACCATGACTGGAGCGCCCGCAACGCTACCGCCCACACCGCCAAGACTTCCACCCGCATGCGTTCATGACCCACCCAGACTGACTGGCGCCCACAAGCGCCCACAAGCTCACGTGCGCTCACAAGCACCCATCAAAGAGGCACTTCTTCCAAGCGCTTGTATGCGTTCACAACCCGCAGCACAACACTTCATCAAGAAAGCACCTGCGCCCACAAGCGCCCACAAGCACTCACCACATCCGCCCAGAAGCGCCCGCATGCGCCCATGCGCTCACGCGCCCGCCAGAAAGCCCCGCAGCACTTCCGCCCACAAGCAAGCGCCCACATGCGCCCACATGGAAGCAAACCAAGAGAGAGCCCGCGTGTGCCCACTAGCACCCACAAGCCCATGAAAAGCGCAGCGCCCGCAACACCACCCACCAAGCCAAGAGCTACAAGCCCACACCCGCAACCCCGCCCACAAACAGAGCACCCACGAGCCCCCCAAAACGAGCGCCAACCAAGCCCAGCAAGAGCGCCCCAAAAACCGGCGCCCACAAGCGCCCACAAGCGCCCACAATGCCCACAAACCCAGAAAGAGCAACAAAGCAAAAGCGCCCACAAGCCCAGCAAGAGCCCACGAGCGCCCAAAAGTGCCCACAAGGGCCAGCCCAGCAAAAGCGCCCACAAGCGCCCACAAGCCCAGCAAAAAGCAAAAGCGCCCACAAGCCCAGCAAGAGCGCGCACAAGCGCCCAAGCGCCCACAAGCCCAGCAAAAGCTCTTAGCAGCCCACAAAAGCGCCCACAAGCGTTATAAGTCAATAAGCGCCCACAAGCCCAGCAAAAACGCCCACAAGCCCACCGACAACCTGGATTAAGGGTAAGCAGGGCGTCTTTTACCAAAAGTTCAGACACATTTGCTTTGGGCCTAGGTTTGCGATCGTCCGGAGGAACCCTCATCGTCTTGAAGCAGTTGACTTTTTTGAGGCATCGTCCACCAGCAAGAGCGCGCAAGCGCTCGCAAGCCCAGCAAAAGCGCCCACAAGCCCAGCGAAAGCGCCCACAACCCCAAGAGAGCCCACAAGCGCCCACAAGCCGCCTGCAAGCCCAGCGAAAGCGCCCACAACCCCAAGAGAGCCCACAAGCGCCCACAAGCCCGGCAAAAGCGCCTACAAACACCCACCGCCACAAGCCCAGCAAAAGCGCCCACAAGAGCGCCCAAACAGCAAAAGCACCCACAAGAACCAAGCCCAGCAACGCCAACAAGCCCAGCAAGCCCCGCAAAAGCGCCCAAGAGCGCCCGCAAGCGCCAACAAGCGCCCACAAGCCAGCAAAAGCGCCCAAAGCCCAGCCCCACAATCCCGGCAATAGCGCCCACAAGGCCAGCAAGAGCAGGCCAGCAAAAGCGCCCACCCACAAGTGCTGAGCCCAGCAAAAGCGCCCACCCAAGCGCCCACAAGCGCCAACAAGCCCAAGCAACAGCGCCAACAAGCGCCCACCCACAGCCGCCCACACACGCCCACAAGCCCAGCAAAACCGCCCCCCAGCAAGAGCGCACAAGCGCCCAAGCCCAGCAAAAGCGGCAAGCCCAGCACAAGCGCCCACAAGCCCAAGAGAGCGCACAAGCGCCCACAAGCCTAGCAACAGCCCCCGCAAGCCCCACAAGCCCAGCAAAAGCGCGCACAAGCCCAGCAAGCCCGCAAACCCAGCAAAAGCGCCTACAAAGAGCGCCCAGAGCCTCAAGCCCAGAAAAAGCGCCCACAAGCCCACAAGAGCGCCAAGCCCAGCCGCCCACAAGCCCAGCCCACAAGCCCAGCAAAAGCGCCCACAAAGAGCACCCACAAGCGTAAGCCCAGCAAGCCCAAGCGCCCGTCCACAAGCCCAGCAAAAGCCCACCCACAATCCTCGCAAAAGTGCCACGTCCAGGCTTGTGTGCATCTTAAAGGGATACATGTGGGCGCTTGTGGGCACTTCGGCCCGGCGGGAACAACGGGAAAAAACGAGCGGGACAACGCAAGTGCATGTGGGCGCATGTCGGCGCATGTGGGCGCCACAAACCCACAAGAAAAGCGCCCACCAGCACCCACAAGCCCAAGAAACCCACAAGCCTAGAAGAGCGCCAAGCCCAGCAAAAGCGCCAACAAGCCCAGCAAAAGCGCCCACAAGCCCAGCACTGCAAAAGCGCCCAAGAGCGCACAAGCGCCAACAAGCGCCCACAAGCCAGCAAAAGCGCCCACAAGCCAGCCCACAATCCCAGCAACAGCGCCCGCAAAGCCGAGCAACAGCGCCCGCAAAGCCCAGCAAGAGCAGCCCAGCAAAAGCGCCCACCCACAAGTGCTGAGCCACAAGCCCAGCAAGCCCAGCAAGCGCAGCAAGAGCGCCCACCCACAACCGCCCACACACGCCCACAATCCCAGACCAGAAAGCCCAGCAAAAGCGCCCACAAGCCCAACAAGACCGCCCGCAAGCGCCCGTAAGCAAAAGCGCTTCGCCAAAAAGCGCCTACAAGCCCAGCAAAAGCGCGCGCAAGCCCAGCAAGCCTCTACAGGCTCAGCTAGCAAAGGCGCTTACAAGCGCCCACAAGCACAGCAAAAGCCGAAGCGCCTACAAAATCGCAAGCGCCCACAAGCGCCCAGCACAAGCCCGGCAAAAGCGCCCACAACCTTCAAGCCAGGAAAAGAGCCCACAAGCCCACAAGATCGCCAACCCACAAGCCCAGCCCACTCACAAACCCAGCAAGCCCCGCAAAAGCGCCCGAGCACGCGCCAACGCCCACAAGCCTAAGCCCAGCAAAAGCGCCCACAAGCCCAGCAAAAGCCCACAAGCGCCCACCGAAAAGTGCAGCAAAAGCGCAGCAAAGGGTGCCACCTGCAGGTGCCGGCCTACTCACAGCAAGTGAGCCCACAACGGTGCAGCTAAACATGTGGGCGCTGGGCACTTCTGGTTGATTGTGGGAAAAGAAAGAAAAACGGGATCGAGCGGGAAAAAACGGGAAAAAACGGGATCGAGCGGGAAAAAACGGGAAAAAACGGGAACGAGCGGGAAAAAACGGGAACGAGCGGGACAAAACGGGCTGACGCGAGTGCATGTGGGCGCATGTGGGCGCATGTGGGCGCATGTGGGTGCATGTGGGCGCCGGCAAAAGCGCCCACAAGCCCAGAATGAAGAGCGCCCACCCACAACCGCCCACACACGCCCACAATCGCAGCAAAACCGCTCACCAGCAAGAGCGCACAAGCACCCAAGAGAGCCCACAAGCGCCCACACGCCCAGCAAAAGCGCCCACAAGCCCAACAAAAGCGCCCACAAGCGCCCATAAGCAAAATCCCTTAGCCAAAAGCGCTTACAAGC